CCCCCCCCCCCCCCCCAAAGATGCAGAGGGCAGCTCTTCCTTCTTGAAGGTGGCCCCGGGTGCACCAGGTACTTCTCTGCTGCAACTCCTCGGACCTTGAGCAAGCTGTGGCAGTCCTTGAGCCTGCATTTCCTCTGCAGTCAAATGAGGAGTGGGGAGGTCAGAGCTGCTCACAGGCCCCTCTGGCTGGGCCAAGGTAGGATTCTGTGAAAACTGGCATGTTCAAGGGGCTAGGAAATTGGGTGAGGGGCTTCAGGAGCTGAGGGAAGCAGATGATGTTGGAGAGCTGGGCCTCGAATGTGTGGGTGTTCCTGGGGGTCTGGGGCTTGGCACTGAAGTTCTCAGAGCAGACGGGTCCTGTGTGACATCACTTTTAGCAGGCAGGTTGGGTGGGGGCAGGGGGCGGGGGTCCTGCAGGTGAACTAGAAGCTGAGACCATGGAGGAAGCCAGGGCAATCCTCCAGGGGATGGGGGGGCCTGGTCTGGGGGTAGCAGTGGAGTTAGGAGGACACCACGGTGTAGATGGAGGTTGGAGTAGAGGTGCTGAGAGGCACATGACCTCCATATTTTGAGTCAGAGACTCAAGCATGAGACTGGTATGGTCACAGAAGCAGTGAGGGTGGGGGATGTATTTGGCCGTGTTGGTGACATTTGGGATTCTGTGACGGGGGAGTGGGATGCCTGCCGTTTCTTTGGCAACCAGGTGAGCTGAGGGCTGCCCTTGGGAGGGAGGCTTCCCAGCCCTCGGCCAGCACCAGTCTGGAGTTCTAAGTCTACAACTGCTGCAGCAGATGTTTGCTTTATTGTGCTTTTAACTCTCTAATATTCTGCAGCAAGCACTCTTCTATATAAGGGACACAGGGTATCACGGCTGGTGTTTGGTCTTTCACAGTGTTTTTACACTTCATTTCTGACTGGGGGCACATTTTCAGCACTAGCCCCATCACTACCACATAAAGAAAATTTGGATGATATTATTATAGGCTATAGGTTTTAATAATGGCACCACAGAAAGTAAGAAAAAGATGAAAAAAGATGTAAGGAAGGAAGGAGAAAAGCTGGCAGGATTTCCTTTCTCACCACGTGGAGGCGTTTGGACCCACAGAACACTGCCTTTACAGGATGCTGGTCTGTTCACCAGCTGAGACGGTGCCACCATGTGGCAATAGCACATTGCACTCAGCCCACCCACCACTAGCTTTAAGAATGTTAAATTCTTGGGGCCGGCCCGGTGGCGCACTGGATAGTGCGCCGCTTGGGAAGCGCGGCGGTGCTCCCGTCCGAGGTTCGGATCCCACGTACAGACCGGCTCCCGCTCACTGGCTGAGCGAGGCGCGGGAGCAACACCGAGGCTTGAGATCCCGTTGCCGGTCCCCGGTCCGGTACGGGGACAACACTGAGGGTTGCAATCCGTTGCCGGACACGGAAAAAAGACAAAAAAAAACCCTGGATTCGAATTCCAGCTTTGCCATTAATGAGCCATATGGAACTGAATTTTTTCTGTTTTTCTTTTTTTATAGAAACATAATGGATTGCACATATCTGTGGAATGCTGCATTGAATATCACTACCTGTGTGCTCAAATGAGGATAATTAGTATATTCAGCATTACACAGTGTAATCATTTTTTGTGGCTCTTTACCAATTTCTCGCTAATCTCTCCTCTCTCTCCTTTTCTAAAAAAAATCAGGGATATGCATTATTTCAGATTTTGGGCATTAAATGAGACAGCATAAGTATTTTTGAATAACTCCATTTCAAATTAGCATAATTCAATTTCAAATAAAATGCCACCATGCTATTCAGGAATTAACCACTAAAAAGAGAGGAAATGCAGATATTTTTTTAACTGCTTTATTAAAGTATAATTTGCCTGCCATAAAATCCATCCTTTGCAAGTATACATTTTAATGATTTTAATAAATTTCCTGAGTCGGGCAGCCCTCACCACAGTACGGTTTTAGAATGTTTCCATCACCCCGGAAATGCGAGTGGTGGCTGGGCTTTCTGACAATATCCATACCCAGACCAGCATGCCCCCATGCCACCCCACCGCACACCAGTTCCAGGCTAGGGCAATGAAGAAGCCAGTTAGCTATCCAGCCACTGTCTCTCCCACCCCCAACTGTGGACATTGTTCCTCCCTCTCACCTTGCCTCAAACTGGTTTGAGCCTGCTGGCTCATCCTGGCTCCCAGACTCCCCCCCACCTTGTGCTGTGGGTAGCTGCTCTGAGTGGCAGGCGGACGTTTGCTGTGGTTCTGGACTTGATATGCTCCACCTCCCAGAGCCAACCCAGGCATGCAGAAACCTTCCATCCCGTCTCCTTCAGTCTACTACCTTGGAATTGGTATTATTCCTATTATTATTCCTATAATAGGTATTATCTGCTATTTCCTGCACTCTAGTTCTCAGCTCCCATCTGATGTACCAAAGCGGGGCTCTCAGAACTGCTTTCCAATGGCACTTTGGGGCGTCCTCTCTGGTACTGTTGGGTATTTCCCATGGGAGTGGAGTTCAAACTGTTTCAGAACAAACAGCTCTTCTGCCTTCCCCATGGACTTTGCCTCTGCCTCCTCTTCCAGTCTTTGCCCCCTGGCCAGTGAGGCGGGTCAGGGGTCTTCAGGGGTAGTGTAACTAGTGGGCTTCCTCTCTGTGGTCTCCTTAAGCTTCCGGAAGGCCCTCTTCCCTTTTCTGCTGGGTAGGGCCTGGATTTTTGTCTGCTTTGCTCACTGGTACATTTCAAGCCCTAGAACATTAATCAAATTTATATTGACTTAAATAGAATTGGAGTGCCCACAAGGAGGGGCTGTCTAAAGGGGGCAGGGATGTTCTTGATTCCCTCCCATCCTGGGAGTTGGGAAGCCCTTTGGGGGATAGGTGCTATTTGCTCTAGTTTAAGCCTCTTACAGATGTTTGGGTCTCATTTCTCCGAGGACCCCTGGCTCACTGGCCCATCTCAGGAGCTGGTCTGCCCTTCCATAGACAAGTCTCCCTTGTTCTTCTCAGACTCAGGTGCTTTTTGGCTGGGTCAGTTCCCCCAACCAGACCCATCACCCCAACTGAGCCGGCCCATCCTGAACCATCTGGGCAGCTGCTTCAACCATTGCTAGGTGGCCTTTTGGCAATGGGATCTCCCAACTCCTCTTTCTGGCCTAGCCTCCCCCCACATGGGGCTCCGGGTCCCTCTCCCCACAAGGATTCCGGCCATCTGCCCAGTTCTGGAGCCAGCTTAACGCCTAGCCCCACCGAGGCCTTCTCCTTCCCTCTTTGCCGCGTGCCGCCGAACTTTTCCTTTCCTCACTGAGAGAGAATGCTACCACCTAGGCCAGTCCTCTGCGACAGGGATTCTGCATTGTCTGCCTCAGCGTGAGCACTGAGGTGACACTGCCTTGGTTGTCAGTTTCCCCGGTGACCCATTCTGGAAGAGGCCATTCTGGGTCCAAGGGCAGGGCAAACAGGTTCCCAGTAGGCCATTCTGGGTCCAAGGGCAGGGCAAACAGGTTCCCAGGCCCGCAGACCTAGAGACCCCACCATTGCCTCGAAACTGCGGCTGACTGTGGGTCCGGGAGACAGCAAGTAGGAGCTCCCAGGAAGACTGGGCAGGCCTGGGGAGGAGGCGAGCGGGAGGCCAGGAGAGGAAGGACCTGGGATTCGGGCTAAGAGGAAGGGTCTGACACCCGTAGTGATTTGGGGACCGGACAAATCGGCGCTGGGGGCGGGGCTGAGGAGCGGGTGTTGATGGGGGAGGGGCCGAGGGCGGCACCGAGGGCGCTGCCAGGCCGGGGGCGGTGCCGAGAACGGGGTCGGGGGTGGAGCCGGGATGGGGGCGGAGCCACGGGCAGGGGCAGGCTGGTCGGTACCGTGGGAGGGACCGGTCACTGTGGGCGGTTCCGTGGGCGGGGTTGGGGGCGGAGTCGGGCTGTGGGCGGCTCTGTGGGCGGGCCTGTGGGCGGGCCTGAGGGCGGGGTGGGCCTGGCGCGGCCCTGAGGCC